CTTATATAATCTAAATTTGGTTCTGGAGAGAAGGAAGGAGTTATTTCTCTCTTTTTTTTTTTGAAGATTAAAGAGACCTAAATATGTGTGTATGTGAAAGAGGGAGATTCAAGGTGCAAAGAGAAATGATGTCCCTGTGTAAACAAGAGGGTTGGGACCCAGAACACTGAAGAAGGAATTAGCCTTGGACAGGAAGAAGAACTCTAGAAGCAAAAAAGAAAAGCCATGGGTGGGAATATAAGTAAGTCTAGAGGTGAAGGAGACAAGGAGTAGGTAGAGTTCAACAGTTCATGGTCTTTTCTTCTCTGTAAGAGGAGACACAGTCCTCGACTGAGACTGAGACCTGGGGAGGGGTGCTGGGCAGCAGGCAGGTAGGTGAGCAGTTATGAAAACATTCAATGGCTGTGAAAGAAATGGGAGATGGAGCCATCAGTTGATGAGGGGAAGGAGGGTGGGCCAGCAGAGAGAGTAAAGTTAACTAATTTGTACTGGGACAAAACTATTACCACTATGCGATTTTCTCTGTTCATTCTCAGTATTCAAAGAGCAAAAGTTGAAAATATAAAGGGTTGGAGGATCCAACAGAGAATACACAGGAAGCAAGGAGGTGGAAAATGAGGCAGGTGGTGAGGTACCTAGTAAGAGAACAAATGAGGGCGAAAAGGTCCAGCAGGGAAATGTCACAGCTTTGCAAGCTGTGACAGTGTTATCTGAGAAAAAGGAAGATCAAGTTACTGAAGGGCTCAAAACTAAATAAGAGGAGTAGTAAGAAGAAAAGCTCCAAAGCTACACAAGTATGAAGTGATGGTCAGAGATTAATTTCTATTTAACAAACAGTTATATAGGACTTATTTACCAGATACCATTCCCAATGTTTACAAGTATAAAGTCACTTAATTCCTCATACAAATCCGAGGTAGGTATGTGTATTATTTCTATCTTACAGGTGACAGAATGGATACACAGACGTTGAATAAATGGTAGCCCCAGGATCTGATCCCAGGTGGTCGGGCTCTTAAAACCTGCTGCTGTGCTCCAAGATCCTACGGTGAGAACTGTCCCGATGGTGCTGGGTCTGGGACTCCGCCGTGAAGGGAAGACCTTTACCTAAGCACATCTATCTCATCCTTTAGCGACTGAGCGTCATCTGCCAGAGTAGTCAGCTCATCATTCTGTTGCCGAAGTTCAGAGATTTCCTTCTCTAACTCTTCACAGCGTATTCGATAATCATCTTTGGCTGCTTCTAGTCTATAACCAAAACAAAACAGACAAAAGAAAGCACCGTTTACTGTCTCATCATTCTCCTTAGAATAAGCATGAAAACAAACTCTTCCTGAATATGTCTCCTACTTTTGTGGTCACAAGCTATATTCCCAAGTCTTAACTGTCATAAAGACGGACTCCACTGTTCAAAGGCTTAGAAGAAGTTACAGCTGATTACCATTCCACTGTCAGAAAGCTGGACATCAAGTAATGTTTTTCCAAAATACTGCAGATATAAATCATTCAAAGTTGTTATTTTTTGATTACAAAACACATATTCCTTATTAAAAATCTGCAAAATTCAGAAAGGCAAAGAAAATAAAAATCATATTAATCCAGATAGGTAATAACTGTTAACATTTTTAGAGTATATCCTCCAGTCTAACTTCTATTCATAATTTCCCCCCCAAATATGGATATTACCATTTCTTATTAACCAGATTTGTTTACTTAACATACACCCTTCCTTTGCTTTACAAGGCTCCTTGTCTCTCGTGTCAAATATTTTATCCAGTCAATTATTTACTTTTTATTTATATAAGTACGTAATGTACAGTTCTCAATTCCTATGTAATTTGTTAATTTTATACTTCATAGTTTCCACTTTTAGTGTATGCTTAGACAGTTTTTTCTTTTAATCCTACATTTTCTGTTAGTACTTCTAATGTTTTCATTTTTTTTTTTTTGTCTTTTTCCGTGTCCGGCAACGGATCGCAACCCTCAGTGTCG